CTTGGCCAACTGCTTTTGGGGTTGCAGTGACAGATGCACCCTGTGACGGCGCACGCTTGGCCAACTGCTTTTGGGGTTGAAATGACAGATGCACCCAGTGACAGCGCACGCTTGGCCAAGTGCTGCCAGGATTACAACAGCAGACTCTTGGTGCAGACTTGGACAAATACTTATTGTCTGGTCATAATGGACAGTAGCATGGTCCATTATTATTCTACTTCTTAGTGTCATACATATCACTGCTGTATGTATTTTTGTGACCATACTCTATAAATCTTTTTGTTTTCATTATTTTCAAAGTTTTCAACACAAGAGACGCTCAATAAGAAGCAATAACTCCTGCAATCAAGTGTCTGACCAGCGATGAACACCTGTCTCGTCTCATCAACAGCTGGAGGCAGCAGATCGGGGTACAGCGGATCAGGTGGGCGTCAAATCCCAAAATAATTGGCAAGTCCAAATTCTAACATTCATAACCAGGTCTGACCCTCGTCAGCAGTTATATTCCAGAGACTCGGAAATCACTCTAATAAAAACAGGCCTTTTCATCCAAAGGGTTCTCATACCGCCTCTCAATTGAACCTCCTGGCGATCGATCTATCACATTTCACTGCTGCTAAAAGCCAATCAGCACTGCCACAACGTAGCACAGTCTCCAGCAAATACCCGACACTCGACAGACACGAGCCTTGAGATTTAATTAGCAGCTCCCCTTGGCGCTGATGTAGCCGGAACCCACAGCTGACAGACAGTGAGACCCAGCCCCCCCCCCCCCACAGCCTGCTGGGTGAAGGCTGAGTTCGTGAAGAGCTGAGCTGAGTGGAGGCTGAGATCGAGGCGCATTTCCTCAACGGTCATTACTGTGCTTCCAAAAACATGCCTGGTTCTCGGCAAAGAGCCACGCCTCCCAGCCCAGTGCGTTACAGGAGCCCAGAACACACCACTCTTTACACCTTTCAGTAATAATAATAACTCCTGACACTTCTAGAGCTCTTTTCTGGACACTCCACTCAGAGCTCTTTACAGGTCATGGGGATCCCCTCCACCCCCACCAGTGTGCAGCCCCACCTGGGGCTCCAGCCAGTCCTCTCCCCACACACCAGCTCTCAGTGGGGAGGAGAGCAGAGTGATGAAGCCAGTTCAGAGATGGGGATTATTAGGAGGCCATGACTGGGAAAGGCCAGGGGGAAATTTGGCCAGGACACCGGGGTAACACCCCTACTCTTTTCGAGAAACACCCTGGGATTTTTAATGACCACAGAGAGTCAGGACCTCAGTCCTCGGTTTAACGTCTCATCAGAAGAAAGCGCCTTTTTTATAATATAGTGTCCCTGTTACTATACTGGGGCATAAGGCCCCACACAAACTGCAGGGTGAGCGCCCCCTACTGGCCCCACTAACACCTCTTCCAGCAGCAGCCTCAGCTTTCCCAGGAGTCTCCCATCCAGATACTGGCCAGACTCACACTGCTGAGCTCCAGTGGGGCTGCCAGCTGGGAGCTGCAGGGTGATACAGCTGCTGGCTTAAGGGGTAATTAAGTCAATCAGGCAATTAGCAAGTTTAATTAAGGACCAAGCTTGGGGTCTGTGGGTGGCAATCATGAAGCACAACTAACTTCCCATCTCTATCACTTAGAAAGCAGCAGCAGCGCTACACACTGGCAGCTGAAACACTTCCCTCTGATAATGTCTCTTCTTCCTTTTACTTGGATCCACAATTCCGCTTATAAAACTCCTGCACATGTAGGAAGAAAAGAGCTCCTCTTTCAAGAGAGGCAGGATGAGTAGAGTGCACATACAGTGGAAGCTGATGTCGATGTCTGAAACCTCAATGTCTTTTATTAGTTCTTATTTCGGGCTCTACTGCATTGATCTGTTTAGTAGCAGCGTCTGCCAAAAGACACGACAAAGCTCTTTCTGGATCTGAATGTCACCACAGAGACAGAGAGGGGTGGGGGAGGGAGAGAGGAGGAGGAGAGATAGGGAGAGATGGAGAAAGAGGCTTTTCTTTTTTCTTCTCAACATCCACCCTTCCACAAGAATATGAATTCAAATATTTGAATGTGCAACCCGTTGCACTATGTGGCAGTGAAGAGTAGGGTCCACTCTCAGACCAGGACTACACTAAATGGGACCAACACCCCAGAGAAGCCCTGCACTCACAGGGTTCTATAAAAACTTCCTCCATGTGCAGAGAAAACTCCAAACAACACGTTCAGGGCCACATTAGACCAATACCCATTGCAACTCAATATACAGAAGAGAGTAATGAAGTATTGTCTACACCTAAAAAGCAGCAACCAAAACTCCTACCACCACAAGGCCCTGTTGAGCCAAGAGCTGAGCCCCACAAAGAGCCCCCTGAGCCAGCTGGTCCTCAGGACAGCACTGCTAGAGCACCACAACTCAGACTGAACCACATCACATAACAGATCAAACAACAATATCTCACACACAACATAAACTGGAATGCTACAGAACCCCAAACAGACAATACACACTAGCTGAATATTCGACCAATAAACATCAAAAAGAAACAGACCCTGACAAAGTACAGGTTTAGTGACCACAGCCTGGCCATAGAAATTGGACACAGGCATACCTGGCTGTCCAGAGAGGACAGGCTCAATGACCACAGCCTGGCCATAGAAACTGGACACAGGCAGACTTGCTGCCCAGAGAGGACAGGCTGTGCTCCCACTGCCAGCAGGAACACAGAGATGCACTTTCTGCTGCACTGTGTGAAGCACCCTGGAATTAGACACACATTCTCCTCTCAAATAACAAATCTAATCCCAGAATTCCCACACCTGTCAGAATCTCAATGGGTCCCAATTGGAGGGAGGAGGGAACTCAGTTGAACTGGCAGCCCAGTACGTGATTTCCTGTCACAGCCTGAGGAACAGTGAGCCCGTCTCTCAGTACTGCTCTGTGTTGTATCTTGTACATAAACGTCTTATTGATGTGTTTGTATTGTAAGTGTTTGTAGATGTTGCGTTCATTGTGTCTGCTTTGGCAACACTGTAATTCATACAGTACATCCTGCCAGGAAAATGAAAATGAATTCGTAAAACTGAATAACAATGAACTGAGAGACAGAAGGAGGAGAGAGAGGGAGAGAGAACACGCTGAACAGGGTGTCAGCCTGAGCCCTCTCCAGACACTGAGGAAGGACAGAGGGAGACAGCAGGCTGTTGTTCTGCACAGCGAGAGAGCTCATTCCCTGGCATACAGACACTCACACAGCGAAACAGCAGCAGCCTGGTCAACCTAAGCAGAGTTGGTTCAGGTCTGGATGCTGTACACTGTCCACATTAAACCAAGGTCCTGACTAAACCCCCCAGGAATGTTAACCCGGGGGCTGGGCTTTGAAAACCAGGTGAGGCAGTGTCCCTCTTGATGAGCTTTGAGATCATCTGGAATGAAGAGTGCTGAAATGCAGCTTTATGCAAGAGCAAGCACAAAACAGAACAGTTTTTCTGCTCTGTAAACAAAGAGTTGGTAATTGGCTAATTCTGATGAGCCTGCAGTGCTACACAGTGTCCTGTACACTCACCTATATACTGAGTGTCATCAGAGCACTACAGTACTGTGTCCTGTACACTTATCTACAATATATACCGAGTGTCACTTAGAGCATTACTGTACTGATATACAGAATAGTACAATCCCTCGGTTACATGGTGCAATACAGTGTACTTTTTACATTCCGTATAACAAAGTGACAGAAAATAAAACACTGCATATTCCAGCTTGATTCCGTGTTATCTGTGTCTACAGATGGGGTTAGAACATGTCCTTTCGGCTGTCTCCTGAAATGACTGTTACACGCAGTGTGTCTCGCAGGTACTGACCTTCTGCGGCGGAGTGCCCACGGTCATCTCCACGTAGTAGCCCTGCCCGGACTTCCCGCGCAGGTTATCGATCATGTCCACGAAGCTGACGGCGCCGGTCCCGCGGGAGTCCCCCGCGGCTCGGGGCGGGCGGGACCTGGCGCCCGGCGGCGGCGGCGGCGGCGGATCGGGCTGCAGCGCCGGTTCGGCTGGGGGGCCCTTACAGAGCGGGACCCGGATCCCGGGGGCCCCGGCGTCCCCGGAGACCGAAGCCAGCAGGTGAGCCGACGTGCCCCAGAGCACCACGCAGCGGAGAAACGGCACACTCATTTTTTTTAAAAAAAAGAAAAACAAGAAAAGGCGTTTAACGGTTTCGACCTGCGCGGTGACGCGGGGAGCTGTGAACGGAGACCGTGTCTCCGCAGCCCAGAAGCGGACGGCACCGGTCGGGGCGCACAGCCGAACAGCACCTTGTGCTTCCGCTCCGCTCCCAGCTAACGACAGGGAGGGCGGCTCGCCGACAGCCCCTGACTCTCCCCGCTGTCACTCGGGGGTCTGCATGCTCAGCACCAGCGAAAGAGCTCGCCTCGCCGCTCCTCCAGACCCGCCGTTTTCCGCAAGAAGCAGCCGCGCTACAGAACAGCCATGGGGAAGGCGGATCACAGGGCGCAGGTGATGGAGATCTGGGGACACAGCGGATTCTCCTCCGTGTCGGAAAATCACTCTCGCAATATTGTAAGGCCAGCAGAGAGCAGAGGGGGTTAAAATTTCCCGCAGGTGCGAAGACCGCGATTCGGACACCCAGCGATCAGGACACCGGCTCCCCTTGCTGTCATGGTCCCGGCGCTCCGGGGATAAACAAGCCAGCTCTCAGCCCTCCGTCCACCATAATCCGCATCTTCTCTCCCTGCTCCCTCCCCCTTCTCCCTCTGCTGGTCCCCCGTCCCTCCCACCTCTTTCTCGCATCCTGCTGGCAGCATCCCAGCTCAGC